GTTGGTTCCATTTCATCATCAAAATCAGTAATTTCCAGACTGTATTTATTCAGGAAATCATCAGGATCAATTTCTTCAACATGTTGTGTTTTAAGCTGATCCCAAATTAAGTCAAATGTGGTTTGACTCAAATAATCAGACATTTTTGACTGAATGAACTGCTCAGATCTTGAATTTTATCAGAATAGCAGAAGACAAGCTGATAAATTCTCTCCTTATTATTATTTTTTTATTTATTTTAATAAAAGGACTAAAAAATTTTTATTTTTTTTTAATTTATTAAAAAGTGTGAAGCAATACAACAAAATAAAAATATAACAGTAACAATTTTTTTTTGTATTATTAATATGCTTTATTTTTATCGTATCAAGATATGTAGTATTTGTAGTATCCAATGTAAACAGTAGACCGGAAATGACCCGAAAAAAGTAGTTCCGTCAAGGTCAAAATGTGTATTGATGAGGTGTCTGATAAAGCTTGGGGTGACTGATAAAGCTAGGTTTATCGGGCATGCACTTTATCAACAGAAATCAATGTAATGACATGATAAAAGTTAAATATAATAAATAAATAAATAAATAAATAAATAAATAAATAAATAATAAATAAAGAAATAAATGAATATTGAATAAATAAATATGAATTTATTTTTAACACAAATGCACCTGTTTTTTTGAAAGGTTATGTTGTTATTGTTTTATTGTAATCGGGGTTAGTGAATGTTTGTATATGTTGTTTTATTTGCTTATTAATTATTTACCTATTCATCGTCTAATTATTCTTTTTCAAAATCCTTTGTTAACCTGATATTAATATAACGTAACCTTAACTACAGCGTATGCAATGTATAAATATAAAATGAAAAGATAAATGTACAATATAATCATTGAAAATGCTTTTAAAAGATCAATACAACAAAGATAATTCATTTTATCAGACATGATCTAACTGAATGCAATATTATTAGTTCATAATGTTGTATAAAGTTGTAGCCTTCTTGTCTCGTGTATGACATGATGAAGACGCTAAAGATCTTAATAGGTTAACATTTACTACACAATACCAGGTTTGTTACATAAAAAAATTACAGGTCTTAAAACACTCCATTGCATTAACGGAGCATGTTGAAGATACAGCAAATGTTACAATTATAGTGAATTTAATAAACGAAAAATGTAATATGAGCTGAAATCAAATACAATTTGAATTGGATGGAATCGTGAAATAATTATAATTACTTCTAATCATAATTAGTAGTGTCTATATATTTATATAGATTTTATTTCCACCTCGTTTGTAATATATCGAGTTATTTTTTATACATTAATCTATGTCCTTAGAAAAATGCATTATTGTTACGAGTACTGATTGTTTTTCATGTGATCTCACATTTAATTTATATATCATGATCATTCCTTATTGTTTCTTGCACTTGTGAGACGCTTATTCGCTTAAACACATCATGGATTAGCATTATGATAAAACACAATCATCAAAAAGAATACACGTCACGTTTAATTCAATCAGCCGACTGAAAGACTGAAGAAAACAAAAGATGCTCATAAAACACGAATCAACTTGTAACACATTTGATGACGTTCATAATTTGTAGTAAATTGATTGGTCAATCTTAAACCCTTTACCCCTTGTCTCATCTATTCTCATATTTTTCCAATCAAATGAATCGATCTTAAATATCCAATTTGGTCATTTTAAAGGAAAGAAATATATATATAGTAAATGATGTTGCATAATCCTTTTATTCTGCCATTGTAAAAAGTTTTAAGCTCAATGCAATTTTGGATGTCATTAAGATAATAATGCACCACGTGCCTAGGTCGCCCGTAGCCAAGTGGTTAAGACGGTTGTATTCAAACCGCTATTCGAACGCCGCCACGTTCTCTGTGAATTCTTTAATGTGAGGAAGCTATCCTGCAGGCTTACAAAATGTCGTGGTTCTATTCAGGATACGTCCATGCCTGAAATTATACACGAAGTAGCACCTGGGGTCTTAATTCACCAATAATGCGTGAACCTTTATAGTGTTGGTGTAACGTAAAATTCAACTATTTTGACATGCATTAACTTGATATTTTACTTTAGAGTGTGATATTTGCAATACATAAAAACAACATGAAAATGTTCTTTACATATTCAAATAGCAGTTTTTCGATATTAATTATTTCTTTTATTCAATACAATACCTTCTTTTTCTTAAAATATTATAATTAAATATCCAAATGTATTTCATTCATAGAGCACATAAAAGGTATGTACTAACCAAGGCTTTTACATTTGCCCTTTATAATATATTTTTGACTTGTCATATACTTACACGGTTAGATTTTATGTTTTGTATTAAAGGTACATTACGCCTTAGAAACAAACAAATTTGTCCTGCTTTAGAAAGGGCACACAAGTTTTGTAACATTAAAAGCATGGCTTTAGAGCACGTTAAATGATTGTCTACTACAGAAAGTAAGCTAAGCGCAGAATGTGTAAATCATTCGTCATAAAAACAGCATAATGGAAACAACGTAATATTCTGACTTCCATACAAAATACTAAGTCACTATGACAAAGAGTAAAATAGAATCCTTAAAGTAATCTCTACTAATTGCCAAAAGTCAAAAGAATCTGAGGCAAATAAAAGAGAGCAGGTCATTATCAAACTGATAATTTGTTTGGAAACTATAAAATGACACTAAAAATAAAACAAAGCTTTTGAGAAATAAAAATAAAAACATTTTTGGGCATAGTGCCTCTAAATGATATAATCAAGGACTCGGCAAAATGATTAAATGAAATGTCTCATGTCTTTGAGATATGCATCGATAACATGTTCGAATAATAATTTTCTCTCAAGAAATTTATCAAAATTTCTATCTTGTTTCATTACTAAACTAGGTTTTGTGCAACTGTATCAGCTCTATAATTATACTAAGTCTTTTAAGCCATATCTAATATTTCAATTTATTATGTCCATGTGGGCTATAATTAATTCGCATAGAAACTTACGACAGCTAAACACAGCTTCTATGTATTACCTATTTAAAACTGACCTTGCGTTATTGAATGCGTTGCACAATGGCAATTTTTCTAAGCACCTTAGAACTTTTTGTATATGTGTTACTGGGATGAAAGTGTGAACAGCGTTCAATTATGAATACCTGTGTATTAGTACAATTGAAAAGATGAAATAAACAAAAATGATTTGTTTAATATGATGCATGCATAAAATATTAATCATTTTAGCGTCGTTTCTTTAAGTCTTTTTAAGTTTTATATTTCTATCGTATTTTTGCCAGTCAATTGAAAATGTTCATAATCAAATGTTCATGTAATACAATCGGGGACATGACATAATTTAATAAGCGTTTTAAACATCGAAGTCGATTCTGTTACCTTGCTTTATTGTTTTCAAAAATGTGCTGGTAACCTTTTCTCCAAAACTTTTTTCACTGATTTATGTTTTTCCACACAAAAAACATAAAACTGTAAATAAAACAACATGTTTGATAATTTTGATATTTTGAAAATGTATTGAAATAGTCTTTTTTACTTAAGGCAAACTGGTTTTCGCATTTTAACACCAAGCTAAATTGTCTCCTAAACGAACTTATATATTATGTATCCAGTTCACAGCACGATCTAATCAAGTAAGGAAAGTCTTACTTATCTCCTAAACCATGCTACATTTTGCTTATCAAAAATGTCACGAGAAAGATAATCACTAACAACAGGCATGTCCTCATATTTATTAATGTGAAACTCTTCTAACATGATTGATAGCAAGAAATTCATATCATAAGAAAGAAACAAATTTCAATAATACCTTAGTTATTAATATAACATACATCATATCAGTATGGATCTTTATAGTCTTTTGCAGACACATTGTCAAAAGTAGTTTTAATTTGCACGGAATGATACCAACGTCGGTTATGCTAAATAAATAAACTAAATTAAATAATTATAAAATGTGTGTAATATTGTATTTTATTGCATACTTTTCAGTGGACTGTGAAATGATATGCTGGTAATTTCACAGACATTTGTTACATACATGTATAATGTTAACAGTAGCCAGAAACTATCTAAATGCAGATGAAAGGCATATGTCTGAAATGACTGGAAATATCTAGAAATACACGCGTGCTTGATTACGAGAATCATAAGAATTTATCTGCACATACCATTTAAAAAATGTAACATAATTCGTAAATGTTTACGGAATTCTTTTTTAACAAGGACAGAGTAACGTTATGATTTGATGACGTCATGAAGGTGTGACGTATGTCGGTTCGCTGAAAAACTAAGAAATAATGACTCAAAACCCGGGATAGAAAACTTGTTTGTTTTGTATATATGATCAATTTATATTTCACTTGTGAACATCGGCTCTTTTATTTTCACGGGCGGATACGCCACACATTTTATCTGGTGTTCACTCTGTGAAGTACATGTAAGGCTTACATGCAAAACAAACAAATATTTTCTGTATTATAAATAATCTCATCGATGACTACAGTATACAACTACAATAAGTTTATACATTATACATTAAATACAGTAATAAATAAAGATGTACAAATATACAACAACAACAGAAACAACAACATAAATGCTATAATCATAGCATGCTCATTGACTGTAATGGAAAGTGCATGTTACCGTCCACGCCCCCCCCCCCCCAACACCGGCTTAAGCAGACATTAACATTTCAACACGAAAATGGTGAAATTTAAACTTTTTTAACAAAAAGGTACATTCTACAATTATGGTTCCATGGAAATCACTAACACGCCATTATGTTGATTGTATGTAAGATAAGTAACTAAAACGAATGACATATTACCTCTTATGTATAAACAACAACAACAACGACAACAACAACAAAAACAAAATTGACGTAGAACAAACAAATATTTTCACTGATGTTAAAGATTATTGAGTACATGATAATAAATTTGACAAAGGTACCGGTTAAAAGAACACATATGGCAAAGGTTGGTATTGTGAAGCTAACACAGGCCGGTAAGTTAAAATATATTCCGTATAATTCTGTAAATGAGAAAGTTTTATACTCGCTGCTTGAGTAGAGATACAATTTTGGACCTTTCTGATTTTTAAGAGGCAAAAGTTTTTCTTGTTAATTCTAATAAAATTATCTGAAAATATTGACCATTTTTTTGTTTTTACTTACGTTGTTTCCCTAATAAAATGTTTATACTTTACCAGAGCTTAAACATTTTTTATTATATAGCTGTATGTATGTTTACGCGATTCTGTTTTTGTTTGCTTGAACACGTGCATTTATAAAAACATGTGATTTGTCATAACAGTGAAAAAAATAAAAATAATTATTTTGCTACCTTATTTGCTTTCCATTTACGTTGGTGATGTTATGGTGGGGTCAATGGTAGCTTGCATTTATTATTGTCTATGTACAATCGAAGCAAGTCAGCAACCTTTTCAATTTCGTCATTGGAATCTTATCCCCCACCCAAAGTTATAAGTTATTTAATTATAGTGATATTCAATTTAAATCCAATTATAAGTTGTAGGCGGATTACAGCTATATTAACAGTAGCTAGTTCCATCAACATTTTTTGCTCAAGAGGTTAAGATGTATTGTAATTGGTGTTACCTTTTTATATCTTTAATATGACGAATGAGAAGCTGAAACGTCAATGGTACTGGACTTAATTTAATTTTTAGGATAAAAAAGATTATTAACAAAAGCTGATTACATTTAAGATTTCCAAATTTGAAAAAAGTAGTTGGTTTAACATAATCAATACTTTCTTAAAAATTTATATCTTATAAAATATATGCTATTGAATTAAATGCTATTTTCGATTTTGCCTTGCATTTTTAGAAGTTTCATATATTTAACAATTGTTGACGAAACACTATGTTATAAAAGAATGTTGTTAAGGTACCTGAATTTTGATCTTTCATTCAAAACATAAAAAATATATATTGATTAAAAATCTTTCTTGTTTTGTCTCTGATGGTATCATACGAACGATGAGAACGATCTCAGAAGATAAAATGTGTATTGTTTAATGCACGAGCGAGAACTTCCAGTCCTTCATTTCTATGACCATGACCACTCGACCACGAATATGTCACATTTATTATTTGCAAATTTTAAGTAATCCACAGAGACCATTTCTCGAACTCTAATACCGATAGATCCATGTAACGTTTAAATATATTGTTGTTTTTTTTGTTTTTGTTTTTTTTTTGTAACAGTGCCAAAACTATATCTTTCATTACATGTAGCAACAATACTTCTATTTATGGTAACAAAATACAAAAAAGTATCCCTAAATAACAGTAATTCAGTACTTAAAATTTGAGATACTTTTAAGCCTGATGAAGAGTATTGTATAACTCGAAACTAGAAGCCAATAACAACTTTTTAAACTTGACCTGGTGTTGTACGTGTGTTCCTCACCTGCTTTACTCATTATTTTTTGTAAATATTTTAAAATGCTTTTTAATGATAGAAAACAACTTTATTTGGGCGATGGCAAGTAAATGAGCTTCAGTGTTGAATTGAAATAAAAAACATGAAATATTCCGACAGTGTAAGAATAAATATGCAATGGTACGGTCGATACTTTCACCCATATCTTTTTGAATTATGAATAAGGCAACCTGATAGGTTTTAAAGATACTACGTTTCTTAACCATAGACAGATGTTGTTTTAAAATATGTAACATGTGATGGTAATATATACTCAAAAATGAAAGAGGAGATTGTCTTTGCCATATGACAATATTTTATGAAGTATTCTACATAGAAAATTAACATGAACTTTTTAAAAAGATATATATCTTCAGCTTTACTAACAATCCAATTTGGACAGTTTTTGGCTTGTTTTCCTGATAAACAAGGAAGTTACCAAAATATAACTTAAAGGATATCCGCCAAAAAAGGATTTTTTTTGCTGTTTAATATCTTGTCAATTTAAAATATAATTATTATGGCAAAACGTTAGGTCATTTTTTCTGCTTTTGTTACGGTGGTATGTTTAGATAAAGCGGTTAAGTAGTTTGAATGGAAGCAAATTTACTGCTTTGTTCACATTTTGCTACTTTAATCACAAAACGTATTACATTCAACACTTTCGTTCGCTTTATATTATCAGGTTATGAAAATCAATGGACATTCAATTTACTTGTTAAGTTGTTTTCTTTCTTTCAATTATATTTCAGTTTATACTTGGTAAAATGTAACCTTATGATCTTCCAGCGTTTTGCACCAAATAGTTCCGAATATTAAATATAATTGAATCCCTATTAATCAATCGAACCTCGTTGTCATTTCAACCGAGTCCATAAAAGATCCATATCATATCACTTTTTAACTCTATCTAGCCTCGTTTTCATTTAAGGATGATTATAAGAATTGCAGATACTGTCCTGATTTTACTCGTCCAATACAGATTTGACAGTTATGAATTCAGTACTCAAAAATATATAATAATCGCATATTATTTTTTGCACATTGTAAAATACAGGCATATTTTTGTGTTTTTGTACGCGTACACAGCAGGGGAAATCCCATATCAGGGAAACTTTCATATAAATCTGATATTTGCATATAGTATTTTAAATCTTAAAACCACTGTGGACATAAAGAATTATAGCGAACCTGCTGTAAATAATGCAATTTAGTATAGAAACAATCTCGGGCTATGCCTGTGTTTGAGTGAGCATTTGAATGTAAGGCATATTGAACTTTGTTTCATTTTGTTTAATATCACGATTCCCTGACAAGATTGCATGATAAATTTACAACATTGAAACAGTCACATTTGAATGAGAAGTACTTTTTCTCTCAAGTTACTCCTGTATTTATCGCTAGATTTGTAACACATACTGTATCAAATAGTTTTATAATGTATTTAGTCTGATGAAGATAATGAGACACGCCGAAGAAGACAGCAACTACGACGATATTACCGATACATGTTTAAATCTTGTATCTCGAAATATTTCTGTCCTTTGACGTTCACAAACATAACGACGTTTTATCAATGCTACTTTGAGGCAAATTGGTTTGCCGAACATTGCAGTAAATTATTAAACGGTTGCGTAAACAATACGGACACTAAAGATTTGTTTTAAAAGCATATGCATATTTGATCTTCTTTTATCTTGTCATTTATATTCTGTTTACAGAATACTTAATACACCTGGTGAATTCTTTAAGTATTACGACAAAACATTCTGTCTCATTCGTCCATCCTTTGCACATGTTGTAGGTCTGGAAATTAACGAAAATCTTATGTAAAAATGGGCAAAAGAAAAGACACGGATGCAAATGGTGTTTTACTATATCTTTTGATTCTCATATCATATGTATTTACCATGATTACGGTTGATGCCATTTCCTGGACGAAATATCGATATGAAGGAAACTCCGTGGAAGTAACATGTGATTCCGAAGATATTCAGGTGATTGCAGAAAACGTTCCTGATCCATTTACATGCAGCAAAATTGGTTAATCCCGAAAGGTCCCCTCATTTTATTTTAAAAGCATAATGCTTTGGATTGAGAGTTTTGAACAGGAAAAAAATCATGCGGGGGAATAACCTTTCAACCGAAATTTTAATCAGCGAAAAAAATTTAATGTTTTCATTCAGGTGTTTATTTTATGGTATTAGGGAAATTGATTCCTTTAAACTGTGCTTTGGTACCTTAAACATGAAAATTTGAGGGTTTTTGCACTTTTCAAAATCCAAAAATTTTGTTTTATGGTTTTTTATTGTTTATTTTGCTTAGGGGACCCCCCCCTTTTAAAAATTTAAACTTTAAATGGGCAAGTGCCACTGCAGCTAGAAATGACCGTAATTCATTTTGTGTTGGATTTTTTGGGTATTTAGAGTTTTACGATTCAATCGATTGAATTTTAAAATTTTTTAACCCACGGGGAGTATAAAGAGGGATTTTAAATTTATTTTCACTTGATTCCCAAATTAACCAATCTGCGGTATTTTTCTTTCTTTTTTTTTTTTAAGAACAAATAATTGGTCGTTTTATCAAAAAAGTCCGAAAACTAAAAATATAAAACCCAATACGATATAAAACTTTTACACACAATTTTTTAATTAATAAAAAACATTTTGGTTAGAGAATAAAAGTACTTTAAATTTTGTTAGTATTTTGAATATGCATTTGACTTCTAATAAAGGCTCCTTGAGGTTTATTGACATGAATGGACTGAAATTGTTTTGTTGCTTTTTCCAGATAAATGTAAGATTTATAAGACCACTAATCTGGTTGCAAAATTTCAAATTATTTGCGCACTTCGTTGTTCAAGAATAATTATTCAAATTGCAAGAAATGCAAAAATTGAAAGCGTTTAAACGCTTTTCACTCACACCGTGCTAAGAAAAGCATAAAAATACGATTTACAATTTACAGTATATTTCTTAACTATCTTTGTATATATTTCTGTTTAAAGCGCCCCCACTCAAATTGCATGAAAGAAATTCAAATAATATGTCTTTAGGCTTTTTAACCTTAGTGGAGTCCCTTAATTATCAGTCTAACAATTCTTCTGATCTTTGCTTCACCCTACACCACTCTTTTGAAAAGATCTGATGCAAATGAAGTATATGGAATTCTTTAAGAACATATTTCTTTCGTTTTTTTTCACACTTATTATGGGTATATATTTTAAAATTATTTTTTGATTTCATTTGGTATAATAATGTTATATCAGAATAACGTATTCGTAAACAAATCAAAACCTAGGTCAGGGCTTGGATAACTTTATCCTCTGACTCTATAGAAGATTGATTTAAAATTGACAGTACAGTACAGTACAGTACATCATACTATAGTATATATAGTAGCATTGTTGTAATTGCATAAAAACTGGACACGCAAAAAAGTATATTAATATATGCTGCACGTTTATTATATGTGACTCATGGCGTAATATAAACATACCTTACTGCTTCTGATCAAAGGGACCGGCACAGTATTTGGATAGTTTAAAAAATGTAATTCTTAAAAAAAGTCCATAGTTTATATATAATATATAGACAAGGGATTAAACTCGCCAGATCGACAGAATGCAACAAGTTCAGTAAAATTCAAAATTGCAAAGTCATTCTTACGTAAATCATATTAAGTTTTATATCAATTTGCAACTAAATAACATCTGTAGACATCTAATTTCTAAGTGTAAAAATGAAAGTTAATATCGGCATCCATTAGCTATCACGTGACCGATTTTAAACGGACAATTTCATTGACTGATTAAAATACAAATCTGAGTTGGGTCACAGTATCGTCCAATCGGCGTTTAACAATCGGAGCCGAATATGTCTCATTGCTTTTAAAAAAAATATTTAAACGGAAGAGTAAAAAAGACTGAAAGTTTGCTATAATTGATTGATTTAAAAAAATTCCATCAGTAAGTTGTCTCTTTGCTTTTGTTTTATAGATTTATTGCGGGTTGGTACAATGGCATGGTTTAGAATTGCGTTTTTACTCGTAGAAAATAGAGTGTTGACAAGTATTTATTCATTTACTATCAAAATATAACTGACATTGCACAAACACGTTTACAGGAAATTGGTTTTGAAATTTCAATACTATCAATTCTAAATAAACTTTATTGTAAGGCTGATAATATTTCAAAATAAGTCAAGTTTATTTGAATTATTTCTAGACTTTTGGATCGACTGTAAGGACATATTAGAGATGGACACGTCTGCCGAAAGTGGTGTTTATGAAATTAGACTTCGTAACTCAGAAAAGATACCAGTTTATTGTGACATGACAACAGATGGTGGTGGCTGGACGGTATATTGCTGTGCATACTATCATAAATAATAACGGGTTTTTTAATAACTAAATAATTTTAATTTAAAAAAAAATATTTCTGTAAAATCATTATTATTCGTAGAGCACGATGTTTTTTTGTGTTTGTGGGTAGATCATTCGGAAAAATTTTATTCTCACCATGTCTCTAATCCAAAAACTTACAAACATGCGTCGGCGCTTTTCCAGTGAATGTAAACAGATAATCAGAGTCGTTACAGATCATTACATATACAATTATTGTTTGCAATATTTGAAAATCTTGAAAACAAAGTCGAGTATATGTCTTAAATGGGCTGTCTCAAATGTCGATCGCATAAACATATCCCGGGGGACTACTTGATCGTTGTAGGCTACTTTATTGTGTTAGCCAGAATAAAATACTTGACAAATTCGAGTAGATATTGGAACCCAGTGCATCAAGGAACTGTTTAGTTTAAACGTATTAATTATCTATCAAATCGACTTAAATTGTCTTTGATATTAATGTCAGAACATAAAACAATAAAAATACCGATACCTTAAAGACATAAATTTTACATTATTTTGTCTCATTTTAACAAGACTAATGTTTAAATGGTCCAGTTTCAAATAAATTCAATCTTAATTTGTCAGACAGCTATTCCGTTACCATCTAAGATGCCGCCGACGGTTTACAAACTGCACAAACAACTGTATTTAATTTTATGCATCGAATTTGTTACTGTCAAAAATAGTGAAACAGATTCAGGTTGTAAAACTTTAAATTTCGCTTGTTAAAATGTTGAAGGTGTCGTATAAATTATGCGATGTTTATGTCGGCGAATTAAAGGGGATATGTGCCAATGGAAGCTGCATATCATATCACATCACACAAACGTGCTGATTTATTTGTTTAAAAAGCTGTTTCTCCATTAAAAGTTTGTTAATTATATTGCTTGGTATTTTAGGTTATTCAAAACCGATATGACGGCTCTGTTGAATTTCAAAGAAGAGACTTATTATCGTACGTAAACGGCTTTGGAAACGTGAGCGGAGAATTCTGGCTCGGTATGTTTTTTGGTGTTGTTTATATCAATCTACAACAGTACAAAACTAAAATAAATCATGTCATATGGTAAAAACCGGTTTGTTTGTTTGGGTTTTACATCACAACGACATAGTATAGGTCATTCGGCGACGTTCGAGCTTTACTGGTGGAGGAAGACCTCAGGTGCCCTTCCATGCTCTATGTCAGGCACTAACGGGCACTTGAGTAGAACCACCGACGTTCCGTAATCTAGCTGGGTAGTTTCCTCACATTAAAGAATCCCAAGTCCCTGTCGGGATTCGAACCCACAGCGGTGAAAGGCAAGTGGTTGTGGTTTGAAGTCAACGACCTTAACCACACGGCCAAGGACGCCCCATATATAAAAACTTGTCTTGCCCTTGGAGTACTAAAATTATTCTCCGCCCCATCCAATTTTAAACAATTTTTGCAAAACTTGCTTTGCACATGTCAGTAGATTAGCCGATGAGCCTTATGATTTGTGGCAAATATACGAAGGTCACATTAACTTCGTTATATCAAAATGGTTTCTGACAAATATAACTCGATAACCTAATTGTTTTAGCCCTCAAAGTGCATAGATGAGAAAAATGGCCAAAAAGACATCATACAAGATGGTCTTCACTTCCAAAATGACCACAATGGAAATGTGATGTTAATGCGTTTTGGATTGAAATAAGCCATGCAAATTGTTAAAATATGCATTTAACATAAAACATTTTTACCATTAATGTGAAGATAGCACAATGACTTCTATTGATAAAAATTGAACGGTCTGTGAATGGTAATAATAAAATTTTTAATTAAGAACATCTGCAAATGTGTTCATACGCAGTAATCATAGAACTTCCAATGTGACACGTAAGTGCGATTCCATGAAAAGCGAGGTATGATCCACAATGAAAAGTGTGTGTGCCCTAAATGAGAAATAAATGGGCGGAACTACATTACACCGTGTTTTGAAAGGGGATCTGAGGTTATGAAGCCTGCATATCAGATACAAGACATCACCTGGCAAATTTAAAAATCAGGCAACATATGCTAGAGGTGACTATACAGTATTCAAGTAGGAACACTGGAACCAGTCCCTAGTTGAAAATGTCTTAAATAGAAGAAACTAATAACACCAAAGGCATATATACAGAAATGATCTTCAAGAGCATCAAAAATATAACATCTTTGATCATATGTGCGACTTTTACCGCCTACATGTGGCACAAATAACAATGATTAGCCGATAAAATAGAGAAAAATATAATATATTTAAAATGGTTATCCTCTACTCTCTGTTACAGCCAGTTGTATAAAATACAAGAATTTGTTGTTACATAATAAGATAATTTTAAAATACCATTGATAAAAATAAACAAATAAATAAATAAAAGAATAAACAACAACAAAACAAAACAACACGTGATGCAATCAGAACCTGGAAACTGGAATCGATAGCCTACATTCATCACTTAGTTTTGTGTTTTGTTTTTAGGTCTAAAGTATGTCCAAGAACTCACAGAACTACCGGCTGAACTTTGGTTTCATATATCAGTAATGAGCGGAGAGACAGCACACGAAAAGTATAATCATTTTAGACTCACTGGCACATCCAACATGCTTTCCGTAGATACACAACCCGTGGAAAAATCAGGTTAATATCAGAGATTTTTTACAAAGTATACGATTAAAATAGTATGTTTTCATTTTAACTAATTAACTTAAAGTACTAAAATAGCTAATACGTTTGTTTGTTTGTTTCATTTTACGCCTATTCCCGACAGTATTTCATTAATATAGGCGGGTAGTTTCCACGCTATACTACCAAAGCATCTCCCTTAAAGTCCATAAAAAATCATGGTAGTAAATGTTTTATAGGTATGGCGAGCAATGCAACTAATGTTTTCGGACAGATAAATGGAAATGAATTTCATTCATATGGTTCGTATGTTGGAGAATGTGGAGGGTGGTGGGCATTGCCAGATAGCTCCTGCCGTTTTATCAACTTCAACTTGAGGTATGACAACGTGGGTGCATACTATGGTGTAGTACAAAGCAAGTTAAACACTTCTAGAATGATGATACGAAGAAGATAGTTCAACATGCCTTCTTATGGCAATAAATCTTTGACCTCAAAATTATTTTGTCTTGTACATGTACTCTTTAGTAACTTTCAGTTTTAACTTTCAGTTTTCTAGGGGGCGTGAGGGATGTTGCACTTTATCATTATCCCTCATGTACAGACTCAATCAAACCGAGTCTCCAATTCTTATGTTATTTTGTTGTGATTAATGCTTGCGAGGGATCAATGTGTTACCAGAATTTTCTAAGATTATACAGCTGTATATCGAAGGTCATATAATCAGTCAGGGATATCTATTACAAAGATTACAATGCAGAAAACATCCACTTTTACAACAAAATCGAGATTTCGTTGTTAATTGACAGTAGCCGTGTATACATGTTTACAACAACGCAGTGTTCAAATTCTGTAATATTGCTCATCAATATAAAGAAAACTTGGAGGAAATGAAGAATTTGAATTATTTGTTGGAACAAAAAGATATTTTTTAAAAGCCTATGCACGATCATTTAACGTACTTTTATGCATTCATATTTGAATACATCTCGTATAAAAACATAATGATTTTCCAAAGAAATGTGACGTTACATAAAATGAATTTTTATAATGTTTTCATACAAATATTTATGCTGCTTTCTTTTTTCTATATGTCTTTTGTTCTGGTGATTGAATCTACAGTTACTCGCCTTTATTATAAAATAAAGTTTCTCTAAAAGTAAAAGAAACCTATTATTTTTCTATTGCATTTGCGTTATACCGTTCGTTACACTATATTTTATCTTAGTTATTTGATGATGCCAAATATTTCGTAGCATTGAACTGCTTTTCACTTGCCAAAGAATTTCGGCCGATAACACTGATGAGTTTTCGGTCCAAGCCACACGCAAATTTTCAATCGGAGTACATTTAAAATGATTCATAAGAGTCTCGACTTTTACAGGGACAGGGTACACATTTAAAAAATGCCTAGGTGGGGTAGCTTTAACATCAGGATAATAAAGCATCGCAATGCAAAATATCATATTTTAAACCAATAAGACAGATAAATTTGATAAACAAGATCATCAAGGAAAGGCGGCGCCCACCCGACCCAATAACAAGAGCCAGTGGCAAGGAGCCCAGGAGGACCCTAAACAAAAACAGGAAAGGGCATAAGGCAGAGTACGGCAGGCCAACCACTACCTAAGAATAAATAATTAGAAACTGATTAGGAACAAAAAGAAAACAAATAAAATATTGAATATAAGACCCATAAAGTCAAAACGCACATGGGAAGGGGACATGAGACCCAGGGAGGAGTGGAATAAATAGAATAAATTAAAACTAAAGGCTTTTTTGGAAGATATTTATCGTAGACAAGAAAACAACAAGAGACTCAAAAGTGTCACCGAAACAGTATAAAACTAAATAGAATAAATCCTCGCCAAGTGAAATTCTAACAGTTATTATGGTCACAAAGGGCTAAATAAGTAAAACACCAAATAAATCATGAAGAAACATATAAAAGTAAACCCAATGACCAGAACTAAAGTACTCCTAAAGGAAGACAGAGCAACATGAAAATCACCAATAAGGGCCCGACGAAGCAAGACAGAAGACGAACATTAAGTCAGTTCAGTCCCAAAGGTCTTCAAGATCTGTCAATCATATAGTCTCCCACTTTGTCCGTCAGATGTTATCAAAAGAGGAAAGCGTAGTATCCAACTGTTTATTCGTAAGGCATAGATGTTAAATAAAGTATAACCTCATTCAAATAGCAATCCTCCTATGAAGTTTGAAAATTGTGGGTCAGATGGAACTTTGTTTGTTTGTTACATTTTACGCCTTTTTCCAACAGTATGTTAGTCATATATGCGGGTAGTTTCCTAACCATCATTTCTGGAGAGTTACATCAGTACTAGACTACCTTCCTCCGCGCTAAACTACCAACGCATCTCCTGGTTTATCAAACCACGCCAGAGAGGTAACTGGATTAGAAAATAGATAAATACAGAATCCCTAAAGAAAGCCCAACAATGCAAAATTGAAAATGTTGCAGGCTCGGTTTGATTGAGCCTGTTCATGGACGGAACTGGAAAGTGCAAGTTACCGTAAGAAGTCATCGATTCTAACCCCTCGACCACGGAGTCGGTTCAAATAGAACTTAAGTTATGCTCTCGAATCTGTTTTCAGTTTTGAGGTAATAGCAATCTTGTACTTTGACCTTGTGACACCAAAACCAATAGAGGTGTTTCACCCAATATTGACAATCATCCTATGAAGTTTGAGAACTGTTCGCCAAATGGAACTTAAATTATGTTCTGGAAACTTTGCAGTTTGAAAGTAATAGTGAGCTTGAACTTTGACCTTGTGACCCAAATATCAAAAGGGGTATTTTACTTAATATTGACCACCTTGGGTCAGTCACTACAGGTCACATTTTGTATTCAATTGGCATCAAACTTGATCAGGATGCTTATCTAAGACATTGCTCGGATGTGGTTGATGGGTCAGTGGAGCGATACAGAACTTTCGGATTATCTTGGACCTCTTGTTCAATGATACCATTGGTAAAGAAAGCCATTTTGCAAGAAACGTAACAGTTCCTCTTGCAAAATGTTTTTGAAAAAAAGATAATATTTTATCATTTATAAGTATATATGGTAATGTTGATATAGGAGTACTTACAGATAAAGCTTGATAATTCTTATGTTTACAGACTAGAAAAGATATCTGCCAGTTTTTTCATAAACTGTTTCACAGTATCTAATGACATGCGCCTTGATGGCAGTAAGTCAAGAAGTCAATAAAATAGAAATCTTACTGGTAGAACAAGATGTGGAATTAGCAATGAAGCTGCTTTTTGTGGATGTTTATATAATTTTTGTATCCAGCACATTATAGGGAGTGTATGCTCTTTCGTACTTTAAAGGAAGAAATACCAGAAATATGACTATCCATAATATCTTTTTTCAGACAGAACGGTTTTAGAATAAACACTAGTGCTGATCGTTCGTTAAAATTTCGTATCCATAAAATTAATTGACAGGCAGCGTGAATATCATCATTTTGGACTTGATTTAAGAACAATATACTTTATGAATGTTTTGTTTGTATTTTTAACTTGTCATTGTACCTTCTATTACAATGTAGTTTATATTACATTATAATTGATACAATGTAAAACATCATTCAAATCCTGACTGGCTTTAACAATTTGTATACAATGTCGTATATACTATGAATCAGCACACACAAGTAAAATAACGATAACATTTTGATAACCCCGAACCTTACATAATTATCAGTTTCAAAAATTCCCGTTGTTGACGGAGCAACATTTCTTGGAGTTATACTTGACGAAAAAAATTTCCTCCTTTATTTCACATATATAAAAGCTGAAAAGTAAATGTCTAAAAGCCTTAAATTAATTACAGGTTTTATCTAGTACTTACTTGGAAGCAAATTCCACTACTTTATTTAAAATAGACAAGTAAGACTGACTTCAGTAAGATATGCAGATTTGAACTTTGTTATCATTTGGTTTATTTCTTACCTTTTAATTAATATGATTACCATTAATTTTATGATTTTTAATTATATTTTTTTTGCTAGTCATTCACAGCTATTAAAGTTAGGGAAGCGAAATAAGGGTCATCATGACAGTCTTATCGTAAATTATAGAAGTCTCACAAAATCACATTTTAGTAATGTTTCATTTTCCTTAATTTCTACCAAAAATTGTTTTCTATCACTATATTTTGGGGTTTGAGAAATAATCCATGTAAATTATGTCAACCCAAGGTCTTTGTAATGAATCAAAACTTTAGAGATAACGTGACAAATATTGTTTGATGTCAGATATAAATGAGGGGGAAGGGGTACAAATGTACTTTGGGAAACAATGAATGTACTTTAAGAATTATAGATAAGCAGGTTCAGTCAAAGGCGGCAACATAATTCAAGAGAAATAATTATGAAGAAAATTGCATAATGATTCATGTAAATAGATGGGCATTTTTTGTTGGGTGCAATTGTTAATGTTAACTGTGGCTTTTTCATGACGCGGCTCAAACGCATTTATTTATTGGCATGGAAAGATTTGTATTGCAACTTATCCAAAATAATATTGGTACCTAAATGGGATATTTTATTCTTTGTCATAAAATTTCAGACTTTAAAGAAAATTAAAGGTAATGTTTACTCATTGGTAACTTTCAATGACTCAGCAATAATTGCCTTTTTCAGTCAATCATCTTCTATAAGTTATAGTAATTAGATTGCTGTTGAAAATTATTGTTTTGGTGTGCGTTTGATGAATCATCATTTCATGTTCTAATTCCCTTTTGCTTTTTTAATAACCAAAATATTTATGAATGTAATAAAAACTTTAAAGACAGAGTATCCTATCCGTTATTTTAACCAAACAGTACTTAGCAACGAGCGTAAAGTTTCCAGCTAAAGGTAATCGTGGTTTTCCGCAATATCATAGAAATCAATGCAATTTCTCCAATGTAGTTACATAAATATCTCTAATCAGAAAGTAGAATCAATTCTTCAAATAGCTTAATAAAGCACACAGCAGACAAAAGGACTAGGCTACTAAGAGAAAATTGCTAAATTGTTGGCAATTACCGGAAGTTTATTTATGTCCGAACGATCAAAGCTTTGTATGGATCAGATGTACTTGATTCTTGTTAGAAAGCGATTATCTATGAACTTTAAAACATTTCAGAATATATTTTTTTCCAAACCAAAATAAGTGAATAAACAAATAAATCAATCAATCAATCAATCAATCAATCAAAAAATACAAGTACGACAAGATAATATAAAGATAACGTTAAAAGGTTACGTAAATGCTCAATCCATAAAGGACGAAGAAGACGACAAAATTGAAAATGTTTTGGGCTTTGATTGAGCCTATCTATGGACGGTTAATGTGTTTTGTAATC